TACTACTACTACTACTACTACTACTACTACTACTACTACTACCACTACTACTACCACTACTACTACTACTACTACTGCTACTACTACTACCACTACTACTACTACTACCACTACTACTACTACTACTATTACTACTGCTACTGCTACTTTTACTACCACCACTATTAGTTCAACCACACTGGCCATCGAAATCAGTTTGCGCTGACCAAAATTTGTCTGTCGTTCTATTTTTCTGGCGCGCACGTTAATTTGGACGTCTGTCTTCAAAGAGCTTGACATACCTAGTAGTAATTTAAGTGCCTCTTTTGTCTCATTTTTTGGAAGATAAGCATTACATCTCGAAGGGGCTAAATTTTGCTCATCGTCGTCTACTGTTTACTATGTCGAAATTATTAAGTCTATTAACGCTTGAGGGTTTCTGCGGCTCTTTAAATACATGTCTCAAGTAAACTGTCTTTTAGGCTTCCCAAGGGTTTAACTTCACGTCAAACCTGCTACTAAATTTTACCAAGACTGCTGTCTATAGAAGCTATGCCATTTACACCGCTTTGTACAGGTACTTTCAGCTAGGAAACACCGGGAGTTTAGCCTACCAACAATTTTACCAACGAGCCTCTCGAATTCGTGTGATATAATAAAAGTGGCTCATCATAATGGGGAGGTTATTTGTAAACATTTTGTCGGTTTGTTTGTGATGCGTCTTTGTGCTAGGAACTGTTCTTTACTTGCAGTGTTTTGTACGTTTTACTCCATGTTTTCTGCACCAAAGCAAAGGCGTACTTAAATGCTCCATACAGTGTTCAGACTGTCCGCTGATGTTTAGACTTAACGCCCCCGCAGCGGGCCATCAGGTAAAAGGACCTCTTATCTTCATCAATTCCACCTTCGTTTTTCATTGAATTGTGTCCATGCCCGCCGGATTCTGTGCGGAGCCCCTCCCTTGCTCGCGGCTTGCTGTGACCCGTAAAGTGACTGCGTACGTAACTACGTCATTGAATGCGAGCAAATCGGACCCATAACTACCGATTGAATGGCTTTTGCCTAAAATTGGCGATAAACGTTTGTGCACAGTGCACCTAACGCCGTGATCTCGAGTTTAATTTCACCAGTTGCATGTGATTAGGCCATAAAATCCGGCAAGCTCACGTCCTATGACCCCTGACAGTCTGCTAGGGAGGCTTTTAACCTTCTTTGCCCGAGTCTCGGCTTCACTGATGGCGTAAATGACGAGATTTTTACTAACTGCCAGATTCCGCAGACGCAATTTAAAATTTTGTTTGCTTTTAACTCATTGTGGAAAGCGAAGCTCGTCTAGGCCTTAGGTGTAGTGTTTGCTGGTCTATAAGTCTGGGAAACCACAGCCATACGCCCAATAAACTGTTTATTAATGTT